GAGAAGAGGACAACAAACGAGGGGCTGTGACAAACTGTTTCGTCGGAGTTTCACCGACTCATCAGGAGGCTGAATATATATATATATTGTCAAATATTATATATATTGTCACATAACTATGATATATATATATATATATATATATATATATATATCGTCACAAACAGAACTGCCCGGTAAACCGTAGGCAGAGAGAGAGAAGAGGACAACAAACGAGGGGCTGTGACAAACTGTTTCGTCGGAGTTTCAACGATATATATATATATACAGGGTTACCTGACCGAACGTTCGGGCCCCCCTGGGCTGGCCCCCGAACGTTCGGGCGTTCGGGGTCCCGTTCGGGGGCCAAACACCTCCAGGTTCGGCCCCCGCCAAAAAAAATTTCGGGGCCTAAAAATAAGTTTTTGTTTCTGAATTATTTTTTGTGAGTTCTCTATGATGTAACCTACATGCCTATAAATTTTGTAGCCATTCTGCTAAGCCAAAAAAACATTAAAAATCGTCAAAGATGGGGGTGTCAAAACGTGCTCGTCCACTCACTATTTTGTTTTCTTTTCACTTTTCACTTTTTGTTTTCACTTTATTTCGGGGCCTAAAAACTTTTATTGTTTTTTGATTTTTTTTTGATGAGTTATTGATTATGCAAACTACATATCTGTAAATTTTCAGGGCATTTGTCAATGCCACAAAATAATTAAAAATTGGCAAATATGGCGGTGTCAAAAAGGTGCTGGCACACTCACTCATTTTAATTCTCTTTTTATTTTTTCTTATTTTTATCATAGTGTTTATTTTCTGTATTTGATTTTTAATTCAAATTTGGTAAAGAATTTGGATGTAGTGCCCTTGCACGGCCGGGCCACCCGGGCAATCAAGGTGACCCGGGCGGCCCGCCTTGTAGCCTAGCTGGAGGAGTTGAAAAAGCTGCTAATAGGACTGAGAAAACGAGAAAAGAACGGCGATTTTTGATACAGGTTTTTACTGAAATACGTTTTGATTCTATCAAGGAGCAAGAGCAGTAGGAGCAGGGGTAGCAGTGTTTGTAGTAGTAGCAGTAGTAGTCGTAGTAGTAGTAGTAGTCGTAGTAGTCATAGTAGTAGTAGTAGCAGTAGTAGTAGTAGTAGTAGTAGTAGTAGTAGTAGTGGGAGGAAGAGAAACAAATATAGTCCTTACTGACCTTTTTGGACGCTTTTCTATCCACACGAGTAGTAGCAGTAGTACTAGCAGGAGGAGGAGGAGGAGGAAGAGGACGGTGATGATGATGATGATGATGATGATGATGATGATGATGATGATGATGGGGACGTGGAGGTGGGAGAGGAGGAGAAGAAACAAATATAGTCCTTACTGACCTTTATGAGTGCTTTTCTATCCACAGGAATAGAGCCATCGGCCGTGGCATAGATTACCCCCCCTGCTGCTGAGAGACGATGTGACATGAGCTCTTGGACAAACACGCTTGTCACGTTCTTCAGCTGCTGTATGCTCTCCTCCTTGATCTCCCTTGAGAGTGATTTCGCCACCTCCTTCAGCTTTCTTTCTTGCTCTCGATGAATCTGGTATCCAGTGGTCAAAGTCAACCGGGTAAATTAACTTAAATAGGTTAAAAGTTTTGAGTAAATCATTAAAGGTGATTAAATCAATTTAAATGATTTAAAATTATTAAACACATTTGATGTGCGTCGTAGACAAATTGCGAAACAGATAAACGCATCAAATTGGCAAAGAGTCAACACTGTAGTATTTTTACTTTTTCAAGAGAAAAAACTGGAAAAAAAAGGAGAAGGAAAAGGGAAAAAAAACTTGAAAAAAAGAGATCGAATTCAAGAATGTTTTCGCTTAAAAAAAGAAAAAAAAAGATTGATTTCAGCAGTGCTACAATTGAATCAATCAACAACAAAAAAATAAATAAATAAAAAAATTTAAAAAATGAAAATAAGCTTAATAAGGTTAGCAAGGAGTCTTTCTTTTCAACAAGCATGACGATACATCTGCGTCAATACTGCAGTACCCCCACTGAATAATTAGAGGAAGAAAATATTACAGTTGTACATACAAAATGAAAAAATATTAAAATCTCATAGATAAATAAAGTGAAACGAACACACCCCCCCAAAAAAGAAAAAAAAACTGCAGAGACACAATCTGCAGCAATATGCATGCATACTCGAAGAGGAAAAAGTTCAAAAAAACTTATCCTAAAATAGAAAGCTTCCACTTTTTGGAATTTTCGTCAAAACAGGGCACTTCATGTCCATGAGTCTCTCTCTCTCTCTCTCTCTCTCTCTCTCTCTCTCTCTCTCTCTCTCTCTCTCTCTCTCTCTCTCTCTCTCTCTCTCTCTCTTCTTTTTTTTTTTCCTTTTTTTTGGACCATGTCTCGATTTATGTGTCCCATCCTTGCGCACGGCCCATGCTAATCTACTCTGTATCGTTCCAGTTTTAACCATACATGCACGCGCACGCCGTGCGGGCAATTGCACACATACAGTGCACGAGCACACGGGATGCGTGCTGCACGCAGGGGAAATAGGCAGCCAGAAAAAAAGGCGGGGGGGGGGGGGTTGCAGGCCTGGATCAGATGTCACTTGCACCCCCTTCAAAAATCTGTTGGAGCATGGAAAAAAAAAGAAAAATTAAAATTGGGAGAGTAATGTCGCCGCCTAAGGGACTGAAGTCCCAAAGACCTATGTGAGGCTATGTCTGATGCTCAATATGACAAAAAGAAAAATTTGCACTGCTGCACTTGAACAGGATCTCTTCCTTAGGTAGTACACTCTTCTGCATCGACGAAAACAGCACCCAAAAAAAAAAAAAAGAAAAAAAAAAAAAATGCGAAATTGTTGCTGGTGTGGCGCATGCATGGGAAGCTTCCATGCGTCGCCCGGAGCACTGCACCGCACGCCCGTGCGGCTCGTGCGTTTGCCAGTACGGTTTTAACGGATGTCCCAAAGGACCGACGAGGGTTCGTAGTTTGAAACATCGGAGCAATTTATTTTTATTTATTTTTATATTTTTTATATTTTTTTGGTGCAGGGGCCATGCTAATCTACTCTGTATCTTTCCAATTTTAACACTTGCATCTGTGTTTTCAAACCTTTTGTTTTTCACTTTCTCTAAGTTTCTCAGGGCATACTCACCCTAGGACTTTTTCTACTGATTCCTGGTCACAATTGCAGATAAACATTCAGTTCCAGCGGAATCCAGCCATAATTGCGGTCAAATACATTTACGAAAGAACTAGTGGCCAACTGGTGTTTTTCTCTTAAAAAAAAAACTAGTGTGAGCTAGGCTACCAGAGTGGCCCGGGACCACTTGCCCGGCCGGGCCCAAAAGAAAAGAAAAGAAAACTTTAAATTATTTTTTAGTTTTATATTTTATTTTAAATTTGGAAAAGAATTTCAATGTGACCCGGGCAACTGTTGTTTAGTTTATTTTTCTGCATAACATAGTTGTTTTTTGGATTTTTTCAATTTTTTGGATTTTTTTTTGTTTTTTGTTTTTGCTGGGACCTTCCCTGGTCCTTGCATGGCCGGGCCGCCCGGGAAAACAGGGTGACCCAGGCGGTAGCGTAGAGTGTGAGTATACTCCATTCAGTAAAGTATTAGCGTGAGTATGCGCCCAGGTTCTTTTTTTTTCTTTTTTTTTCTTTTTTTTTCCCTTCATTGAATTGTTTGAAGGGGAGACAGTTTTAACTTGGGGCCTCAGTCCACCATTCACTAAATGTGGAAAATGAGAACGAATCTTCAGCTAGAACATGGGAAGTGCATGTCTTGAGTAAGTGGAGTGAGGCCCTTTGTGGAGTGGAATCGTGCACTACATGCGAAGCTGTCAGTTGGTACATCCGTGAAGTGTGCAAAATTGCAAATACAGACCCAAGTGTGCAAAATTGCAAATACAGACCCAAGTGTGCAAAATTGCAAATACAGACCCAAGTTCCAATCCAGAACAATCCGATAAGCAACTAAATGTTTTTTTTTTTTTTTTTTTTTTTTTTTTTTTTTTTTTTTTTTTTTTTTGTTGGGAGAGCAACTAATTCTTAATTACCTGGGGCCCTATTTCTTTTTTTTTTCCTTTTAGTGAGCACCACCTACATGTGAGGCTCCCTATTGTACTGTATTTAGAATTTTGGATTAAGAAAAAGACTTCCAAAAAAAAGTTCCAAAACTTGCTTTTTTTTTTTGCTTTTTTTTTTCAAAAAGACCGAAAAAAGTTGACAAAACCCTGTGCCGGGGTTAGAGGGGGCGATATGAGCAAACTTGCAATCTTCTATACAGTATTATTATTTACACACACACACACACATCAGAATGCACACCCACCCACCCACAC